TTAAGTCCATTGGAATTACTAGGTTAATTAAAATTGTGAGAATTATATAAAATAAGAGAATGAGATAAAAGAGAATAGAAAGAAAGAAAAGATAGAAAGGAGAAAAGAGGCAAAGAGAGGAGTGGAGAAGAAGAGGAGGGAACTCAAGAGAAAGAGCAAAAGTTCAACAAATTCAAGGTAAGGGTGGGTTTTTGCATGTTTATTGGGATTGTTTGATAATAATTAGTGGGTAGAAATATGTTTAGGTTAAAATCCCCAAATTTTCTATGAAATTGAAAATTGTTAGGTTTTAATATTAAACTTTGAAATGGATTAATTTTATTGTGTTTGAAATTGATAGGTTGGTATATTATAGATACTCATTCAATATTTGGAGTTTCTAATTTTCACGTTTTATTTGTATTGGATTGGGATGTGAGTAAATAAGTGCCACCGCAAAACCAAACTTAACTGTAATGTAAGTTATTTGAAGATTCATTTGATATTAAGAGAATATGGATGGATGATCTTCATTTATTTGGTTATTTCAATAAACTGTAACATCTAGTAAAATATATTGTATATATGTGACAGGTTATTAAGAATGAGGTTGAGATAACCTTTAGTGAAATTGAGGTTGAGATGCCTCGACCTACACCGCCGTAAATGAATCATACATGTCAGTTTATATGCATGTTTATGCTAGTACACATTTATATAGCTAATAAATTCAATTTTAGTTTCACATGGCAATGAATAAATTATTGGCACGACATACTGTCTTTCTTTTAATCAATTAAACTTCATAGGATATAACATTTAGTGTTAAATTAAGAAAAGTAGGACTAATAAAACATGATAAAGATTTTAGAAGCAAAACAATGTAATCTTATTACACTATCTGTCCAGTAGCACTAGAGGAATAAAATGGTAGACAATAAAATGTTCCCATTATTTCATCCTGTAGCATATATATAAAAGTAATTATGAATTGGAATGTTTATTAAAATTATTAATTTTATTTATTAAATACTGAATATATAATAAATAATAAATATTTATTTAAAATATGGAATACTTATAAAAGATTGATTAATATTAATTATTTATTAAATATTGGTTATTTATTTAATATTGAATAATTCTTGAATATTTATTAAGTAGTGAACATTTATTCGAATTTTTGAATTTTTAATTATTGATGATGGATTGATTATTCTATGTTTAAATTAGTGATGTGTGTTTGTGAATTGAAGTTGAATTGTGTTGATGCTTGTGTATGTGCAAATGTGTGGTAATTCAAGTGTGATGAATTATTGAAGATATGCTTGGATATTAAGATTGGTGTATGGTCTTAATTGCATATGGTTGTTGAATTTGCATACGCATCATTTGTGTCAAGAGGCAATGCTTGTTAGTTCCGTGGGAGCTAGTGACTTGTCCCAAACCTAGAGCGGGGTTTGAAAGTTTAGGGAATGGGTTTTTTTTGTGTGTTATTGGTCTAGGGAACGGACCCGGTTTAAGTGTAAAAACCGAAAAATAATGAGTGTTGGTACCACATGGCATGAGTTGCATTGAGTTTTGCATTGAGTTTTGCATTGAGTCTCATTATGTATATTTATGTGCTATGAGATAATGTGTGATATGCGGAACTGATAAACTGGTGAATTATGGAGTTGTGTGTATATACTTGTGAATAGTATAGTTACTTGAATAATATTGTGTTGATGAAACTTTTGAAGTGTGAGAATAATAGTGATTATGTTTGTATGCCTTAAATTATATATTATCTTATAATTTCAATAATTATGTGAATTCTCACCTTTCTGTTGAAATGATGTTTTATACGACATCGCTCAGATACTGAGGAGTAGAGTTGCTTTAGCACGAGGTAGCCGTTGGAGTAGCTTGAGTTGTGTCTTTATTTATTTTGGGTCGAGTCATGCTCTAATTATGTAACACTGGGGAATGTTTCGATTTCATATTTTGAGAGATACTTTATGTACTCTACTTTATTCTGTTGTTGTTATTTTGAATTATATGAAGAATTGGCTTTTAAGCCTAAGTATTAAAAATGAGATGAGCATGAGACTTTTATTATGTCTATCATGATTAAAGCAAATTTGCTGCTACATGCTAATGTGAAGGTGTATGAAAAGCAGAAAGTTATTTTTATATTATTGAGCATGACAGGTGTTGTGTAATGTTTTGAAAATTTATGTGACACCCTTTTGTGAAATGCATGATAATTACTCTGATCTATTTATATTTATTCTGCGGGGTTAGAAGGGTGTTACAATACTCATAATCTATACCAACAAAAATACTTATACACAATTGCTCCTGGTACTTTACCACCACATATTTTAAAGATAAAAATAGGGGTTCCACTGATGTTGATGCGAAACTTAGACCCTAAATTTGGGTTGTGTAATGGTATAAGGTTGTTATGTCGTAGTTTTTTTTATATATGAATTTGTTTGATGTTGAAATACTTACTGGCCACAATGTTGGAAAAAAGAGCTTTATTGTCAAGAATTAAGCTCAAAACCACTAAAGGTGCGAGACTTCCTTTTGTACTTATTAGAAAACAGTTTCCTGTCAAACTAAGCTTTGCAATCACTATAAACAAATCACAAGGACAAACAATTTCAAATGTTAGAATTTAACTTTCACGACATGTTTTCAGTCACAACAATTGTACGTTGCTTTATCGAGAGGTGTTTCGCGTGTTGCTACAAGAGTGCTAATTAAAGACAGAAAAGTAGATGAGGAAGAAGGGGTGTTTACCAAAAATATATTTAAAAAAAAATTATTGTCACAAACTCAGATATTTATCTATTATATTTAAACTTTCAACTATATTTTTGCAAAGTCACACTTGGCGTGCACTCAATATATTACATTACATTTTTTACTACTAAAATTTACTTCATTTATTTTGTAGTAAAACAAGAGATATTTTTTTATTTCGATTTCATGCTTGACCATCCTATTAAACAACAATATCACTTAATGTCTCTGTTAATGTTTATGTTATTAGCTTAATAAATTGTGAAAAATATTTTTTTACTTATTTTATTTAAATCTTCGTATGATTTTTTTGTACAATCTATAACAATACATAAATACAAAACTTAATTTTGGTGTAACTTATTATCTTTTTCCTTAATACGGTATTCGTAACAATCAAATTATTCCTCTGACATTATTGATTTGTTTGAAAAAAATCGGATAAATATAGTCACGACATAATGCGATTTTCTCAAATCAAACAAAATTTAATACACGAGTATTACATATTACAAATAAAACTTAATATGTATCTGAATAAATACAATATATTTCGTCATATAAATATTTTATATTAAAATCAAACTTATAAAAAAGACGTTAATATTTTCATGCGTTAGCGCGGTAAAAGAAGCGGATAACCGTTTGGACGCTAGTATATATTAAAAAAAATGCTTAATACCTCTTTTGATCTTTTACCTTTAGTCAATATTTCTCTTTGGTCCTTTAAAAAAAACTTTACACAATGGTCCATTAACTTATACTTCGTTATATATTTTAGTTCTTTCGGTTAGTTTTTGGTGAAAAACGTTAAATTTTGATTAGCTGGACATTTAATTGTTGAGTTCGAATATTTATTTATTTTATATTGATTAAAATATTACACAGTTGACCAAGCTAGATTCTTCTCCGCAGAAATTCAACACTCTCTCATAAAAGAAACTTTTTCTTCCATTTCTTTTTCTTCTCAATTTTCACCTCAACCTCTAAACCTTCATCAATTTTTTCAATCTTTTCCCCTCTAAGATGCAGAGCAAATCCAAAATGCCAAAGATTGAAAAACTTTACCCTTTGTGTTCTCATGGAAGATCCAAAACAGGATACCTAAATAGAAATTGATGAAGAAAAAAACAACTCATTTTAGTTGTGTCACAGAAAATGGAAGAGAAATTAGTAAGGAAAATTAAGAGAAATTGGAAGAAAAACAATCACTTCAAGACCAATTTCATCTTCTCTCTCAATAAACTTCAACAATTACAAAATCAAGCATCAATTTTTTCAACCTCTAAACTTTTGTCATTTTTTTCAACCTTTAAACCGTCACTACAAACCTCTATTTTCTTACCTCCAAAAATCAAACCCAACACTTATCTTTTCCTCTTTAAGATGCAGAACAAACCCAAAATTTCAAAAATTAAAAATCTTTACTCTGTGTTTTCATGGAAGATCCAAACAAGATATTCAAATGAAAATTGAAGAAGAAAAACAACCACCCATTTTAGTTGTCACAAAAAATAGAAGAGAAATTGACAAGGAAATGGTGTTGTTGTAAGTTCCAATCTTCAATTTTCTTTTAGTATTTTGGAGAAGAAAATAAGAGATGAAGAAAATATGGATGAACACGGTAAATGAAATATAAAATTCATTAGTCTTAGAGTGTTTTTAACACGGAAGCTAAATGTTAAAAATACTATTTGCTTACCTGACATTTGCCATCTCAGCCATAATTAATATTTTTTTACACAAACTAACGGTAAGAACCAAATGATTTAATAGAAGTGAAGTTAATTGATGGTTATGTAAAAAAATTTAATTCGAGATCAAAGCGAACTTTCACTCAAAATTAAGGGATTGAGAAACTAATTATTCCTAAAAAAAAAACCTTATATTATGAACATAATGGCAAGCTTATTAAGAAAAAAAAAACTTATATCAACCATATTTATTTTTAATATGACAAAAATCAATAGTTATCTCAAAAATCACTTTTGAATGATAAAGTGATTCAAATCATTTTTCCGGAAGCAGTTTCTATTAATTTTAGATTGATTTTCCATAAACTTTTGATGTTATATGAATGAATCAAATAATTTGATTCTACCATCAAGATCAAGGTATTATTACTCATTTACTGTTCATATTCTCAATATCATTGCGATTTATGATATTTTTGTTTTGTGTGAAATGAAATTTGTTTAATAATCATCTGGGTATGTGATTTCGACCTTATGGAAGTTAAAGCAATGGAATCCCAAGAAGGAGAAGAGATTCATAACTGTTTGATTAAGCATGTGAACTCATTGTTCTTTAACTTTTGTTATTTTCTTCTAAATTGTCTTTAATTAAGCATCAAAGTCTACTATGTTGATGCTTACAGAGAGATAATCCCAAAAGACGAAGGGATAAAGTTTACATTGGCTGTGGAGCAGGGTTTGGCGGTGACAGGCCTTTGGATGCTCTTCAACTGCTTCAAAGAGTTGAAGAATTGAATTATTTAGTCCTTGAATGTTTGGCTGAGCGTACTCTTGCTGATTGATATCAAATTAAGTCGTCTGGCGGCGATGGTTATGATTCCCAGAGTATGTGCTTGATAAATGATTTGAACAAACTGCTCTTTTCCACTATTCGTGTTTGTCAATTCTGATTTTATTTTCTTGCTATGTTATATATACTTGGTTTTTGATATAACATTATGGCATAGTTTTGATCCATGTAGGTTACCCCCTTAGTGAGATAAGATTTGGTCATTGTTGTTACAATGATATACTTCGTGTAAGCTGCTCACAAACAACTATCCCGCTTTTGTATACTTCGTGTAAGGCGAGCTGCTGAACATGGCCCAAAATGTGTCACGGTTAAACCCTTCGTAAATAGGCCCTCATAGAATATGTCATTGTTAAAACGTGGTTAAAAATGACTTCTATTTGTTTTGTCATGGTTGAACCGTGGCTAACCTATACAGAGTCTCTAAAAACTTAAGACGACTCTGCCTCAACCAAGCCTTCTGTTATTAATATCAAGTTCTGAAGTTGTTTTGAATATGTATAATTCACTTAGACATGTACCCTTATATGTATCGTTTCTTTGATCCATTTTAAGATAAAAATTTAATCTATCTATACAGGATTGTCTTTTAGGAAGTGCAAGGTGGGCTACTGCACAAGGTCTCAAATTTGTCATTGTTAACTTGTGGTTAAATAGGGTCTCATAAATGTTTATAATGGTTAAACATGGTCATATAAGACCTCTATTTGTTTTTCCATGATTAAACTATGACTAATCTTCACAGGGTCTCCGAAAAAATTGAGACGGCTCTGTATCGATATATATCAGAAAAAAATGCAGTTTTGTTTCCTGCTCGTGCATTTTTCTCATAAGTTTCTGATTGTTGTAAAATTTTATTTGCTGTTTCTAGCAGGATGAATATGCTGCTGCCTCTGGCTTTTAAACGAGGAACTTGCATAATTACCACTATGAGTGCTAGTAAGAACTTTTAGTGCTGCATTTAATGGATCATGTGCCAACTGTTGCTCATCGAACGATATTATAAGTTCATTGACACTTAGACTGGTGGACTACATGGTTTCTTGCATTTTTTTCTAATGCCGTTCATTCTTCATTTCTAAAGTGGATGCTCTGGGTGCTCAACAGAAGGTCTTAGAAATAGCTACTGCACTCGGGCTTGATGTTTCTGTCGCTGTTGCTCATGAGGTGTCTGTTACAAATTTAGGTATTTAGATTTCCCTGTGAACTTTACTTTGACCCTTTTATTGTCAAAATTCAAACGAAAGATAATAAATTGGGAGATTTTTTTATTATTCTCCACGCAAAGTTCTACTACTTATATATACATAGGCCATATTTCAGGTTCAGGATTTTCACCTAAAAAAATATATATCACAGAGGGTGTAAGAATCTATTTTTATGTCTCTTGTAATTTTTTTCAGCTATAGACTGTTACAGCTACATTCTGATTTACATATTGAACCAAGTCAATGGATCGTTCTATTTCCCTTTGTTTTTCTGTCAATAGAACTACGAGATTGGAGATCCCAGTGCTTATGTGACTCCTGATGTAGTACGTTTGATTTTTGTTACGATTTTTGAAGCAGCGGACATCGATAATTTATGACTAAAGTGTAAAATATGCACACAAAAAACGAATACTGTATTCTATAACAGGTCATTGACTTTCAGGATGTTTCCTTCCTTCCGTTATCAAGCAGTAGAGTACTTTGTTTTGGGGCATAGCCATCTAGTATATCAGTTCCTGGTAAACTTTTGCAGTTAGTTTCAAAGGTACATTTTTTAATCATTCTCTTCAAAATGTAAGTTTGATATGTATGTGATCACAAAAAACAAACTTGTACATGTTGATAGTATAGCTTTTTGTTAACTCTCTCTGAATATTTGTTACACGATTGTGGTTGGAAAGGATGGGGAGAGATATCTTATGGAGGCTATGAATGTGTTAAACGTGCCAAAGCAGCTGAATTTGTGGTAAACTTTACTCCATTTGTAATATTGGTATTATCTTGACACATGGTTTTGTTATAATGGTTTTGTTATATTATTGATGTAGTTGTTATCTAATAGTGTGTTTGTGGCCATGAATGTAACAAATGACTATGTTATAAAGCCCTATTGGTCACCCATTTACGAGATCGATCACCTATTTTTGGAATGACCTACCTAACGTGGGAGGTAGGCGATGTAATGTGTCCATGATTTGCTGCGTTGTAGAAGGAGTCATAGGAAAGTTAATCATGCTCCCCTAAGTATTAGGGGATTAATTATCCATGCCCATTACGACTATAAATATCTCATCATTTAGTTGGAAAGGGAACAATCACATATTCATACAAAAATTACATACGCAGAACTTTTCACCTCATTACGTGAGCTAGTTCTCAATCCTACAACATACCATAAAGCCTCTGACAATCCTTAATTACTAGGAGTTGTCATGTATTATTCTTTTACCAAGTTCAATTGACGCTCACTGTGGGGCCCGATAAAACTGACATGGGCTACAATTACAAATTCCAGCCAGATTATTGCCCTCACGTTCAACCTCTTTGATCAACATGGTGAAGATGTGTGATGTTATGAGTCGATCTACGTTGCTAAAATCAAGTTTTGGAGGACAACGTCTTTCATATCCAACAGTGCCAGCGGGAGGTAAAACCCATATAGGCAAGATGAAGATGCTTGACCCTCAACCTCTCTCAGACGAGATATGCAGATTAGATTTGTTATAAAAAGAAGATAAAATATATCCTGGTTTATTTTTATCTAGTATTAATTAATTAAACAATCCACTATACTTTTTGAACTAAAAGAGAGAATAACTTGCTTAAATTCCATGTTTTGCATTTACTCAATTCCTCTTATAAAAATAAGTCAATGTGTGACTTAACTACTCATCATATCCTATTTAAGTGTTCATACGTAAATTTCAACTATGTATGCATAACTTAACTACTCACATGGGAATATCAACGTTATATCCCTCCTTATGTATGACTTAACTATTTACACATGAATTTCAACAATCTCATTCTTAAGTGTGACTCACTTACATCTCAACTCAAAATCTTAAAACATTAGATATATGAGTTTTTTTTCTTTTATATGTTAAAAATTTTCTTGATTTGCATATAAGACTTAACCACTCACTTGAAGCTAATAATATTTCTTAAAAATATAAATCACTCACATCGTACATTTGCATTTCTTAGTTGCAAAATAAATCCCTGTATGTATCTTATAGTTTTATTTCTCAGTTGCATTTCTTTTTATATTGATATTGATAGTATATCTTTTTGTTAACTTTCTCTAAATATTTGTTACAGGATTGTGGTTGGAAAGAATGGGGAGAGATATCTTATGGAGGCTATGAATGTGTTAAACGTGCCCAAGCAGCTGAATTTGTGGTAAACTTTACTCCATTTGTTCTTTTTTACTTACTGTTTTAGGCTTACTTAATCCTACCGAAAATCCATTATAGAACAATTAATTTATTATTCATATGCCTTATTAGGTTAGATCATGGATGGAAGAAATAATTTCTGATCTTAATCACCATATATTTTCTTATCTGATTGGGTATGATAGTCTCAAAGCTAGCAGCGATGAAAATGCTCGCGGCAGAGGACTAGTGAAGATATTAAGTCACGCATTTTTTGAGCAGAAGCAACACACTATCCAGTTTACCAAAGAGTTTACGACATTGTATACAACAGACCAGCTGGTGGTATGATTACACAAAAGCTTGAAGTTTGCATTGGTGAAGTGAATATCCTAATATTTGAGAGACCCTGTATTACTCCTGCAATTTTTAGTGACATTTTTTTCGGATTTGAATGCAATACTGATATAAGAAAGAGATTCTTCTAGAAAAACATTTTCGCACTCTCTTCCTCCCCTTCCTATTCAGCATTTGTCACACTTATCATACCCAAGAATTGGGACTATTTCAAATAGCAAAAGTGTGAAATATTTCATAAACCTTATTTTTGAGATTTTTTGAGTTACTAGAATGTCATTTGCATTCACCTTTGGAAATTGAGAAAGTGAAGAGACAACCAAGAAGACCGATGTATGAAACTTTCAGTAGCAAACCAAACTCAAATCAAAGCCCAAACGAACGACAATCGCATGTCATCGATGGAAGATCCAAAATCACGGTGATTTTATTGCATTGATAGATTGGTTAAGGATTTCCGTGGAAGGGAAGAAAGCGAACAAAAAAGGTCTTTCATTGCATGCGATTGTTAATTATAAAAGCAGTTGTATTATAAAAATCAAAGGTTTATGTAATTTTATTTTTCATTGTTATGGTTTTTTAGCTACAGAGATGTTGATTATGAAAATTATTTGAGGAGGATAAGTTTTAAATGGTGTTGCATGCACGTGGTTATTTGTTAAAATCGTGTTTACTTTTGTTATGCAGTTAAACAAATCAGGGGAGGAGATATATTTCAATTTTTTGAATGCTCAGGAGATAATGTTAGTTACAGAAAGAATTGACCGATACAATTGCAAGATAGGTAATGAATTTCTTCAATTGACATTGGGAGGTTTAAACACCATTTGTGTTAAGAGGTTATTAGTTTGCATGTTAACCCTTCATCATTGTATGATTTCATTGGTGTTGTATGTAATACGTGTTTAAATAGGAATGTCAGTGAAAAGGCTGAGCGAATAATGAAGAAACATGTCATAACCATTTCATCCGATTCGTCAAAGTAATTTGACACGACATTAATATATTAACATATATAGACGTAACACAGATTTAGTAGTTTAGAGATTACACATGTGTAATGGCCCAAATGTTGTATGTCCATAAATCATTTGAATTTTGAAAAAAATGTAAGATGAACATGCGTAAAATGTGAATATATGCCGGTTTGTTGCTGTTTCCCCTTGTTAGTAGTTCTTACCTAATATGCTAAGGACAGAAAATGCAAATGCATCCTGTATAATATTATAACAAATGTCTTGAAACACAATTATGGAAAATTACAGTTC